GCAAGAAGCTTGATAGCTGTAGGACTGGGTGTTGCAGCTTTTGCATTTGCAGGTGAGATAAATATTATAAAGCTAACATATGAATATTATAAAATAAATTTTTCCAAATCACTCCTTAATAAGCAGACTCTTCATATTCTAAGGTTTTGAGTTTTAAGACATACATTCCCATTTTCTTCACCATATATAATTATTGAACATTTTTCAGTATAGCAAAATCTAGATAAACTTTGTAGTGAAGAAAAGTGATGATACAAAAGTTAGGAAAACTAGCCCAATAATAGTGGATATTCCTGGCAATTTTTAGTCTGAGATATTGTGTACTTTATTTTTTTTTAATGTATATTTTATTGATTTTTTACAGAGAGGAAGGGAGAGAGATAGAGAGCTAGAAACGTCGATGAGAGAGAAACATCGACCAGCTGCCTCTTGCACACCCCCTACCGGGGATGTGCTCGCAACCAACGTACATGCCCTTGACCGGAATCGAACCTGGGACTTTTCAGTCCGCTGACCAACGCTCTTCCGCTGAGCCAAACCGGTTTCGGCGATATTGTGTACTTTAAATAAAACATCTTTAATATGAAACAGTATAATTGGCATGGGATTTCTTTATTCTTCCATATTTATTTCTTCTTATAGGTAGTATTAAACATTTCCTGTGCTGTCAGTTCTTTCTGGTGAGTGTAGTTGTTCCCTGTAGTGTATTTATTACTTCATTTTAAAAATATTGGTGTATTGTCTTCGATAAACTGCCAAAGTCACTTTTTTTTTTTTTTTAGAAAGAATGCTTATAAAGAGTGAAAGCAAAATTGCTGTCTCTTCAATTTATAGTTTAGAATCATCAACTTATAATTTTAAATTGCATAGCTACTCCTTAATTAGTGTTTATCTTAGAGCATTTCCTTGTTGATAAAGATTCACAATATTTTCTTTTAGCATTTGTATCTAAATTCCATGGATTTGCTCTTGTTAATTGGATGATCTTTTTGGGTGAATTTACTTTCCATTGTGATTATATGGGGTTTAGTGAGATCCAAGAGAAAACAGGAAAAAAAAAAAAAGATTTTTGTTTTGTTTTATGTACTATTTAATTTTGTACAAGTCTTGCTTAAAGCACTGTAATAATAAGACTTTAAAATCAAGATCAGTGACTCATATTCTCTTGGTCTTTATGCCAGCAAGATCTTGTGTTTCATTACATAAGTTACTGAGTTTTCCTGAGAAGAATATTGTATTTAAATAGAATTCTGGTAAACTTGCCACATAACTATAAAACAGTTTTAGTAATAATTACTACAGGAGAATGGACAGTTATTTGAAATTAGAGAAAGATGTACTTTTGCTAGGGCCTTTCTAAAATCAGAATTGGTATTTATATTCTGTACATACCACACTGTTGCCAAATTCCTGTTACTAAATAGAATTCTATATAATAAAAGGCTAATATGCAAATTGTCCCCTTGACTGGAAGTTCCACCAGAAGTTCAAACAGTGGTCGAGACTGGTTGACCAACCACCTGTGGACCCTCCCCGCAGCTGGCTCTATCCCCTGTCCCCATTTGGGGATGGGGCTGGCCTGCCAGCTGCCCTTAGCCCCTCACCCCTGGCCAGCCCTGATCAGGTCAGGCTGGCTGGACCCCACCCATGCACGAATTTGTGCACTGGGCCTCTTGTCTACATATAAAAGACCAATAACCAAATGGCAGATCCACCAGAACAACTGGTTGACCAGTCACTATGACATGCACTGACCACCAGGGGGCAGACACTGTGCAGGAGCTGCCCCCTGGTGGTCAGTGCGTTTTCACAGTGGGAGTGCCAGAATGAGTGGCTGCTCCTGCAGCGGGAGCAGCTGCTCGCAGACCCATGGTGAGGCCGAGTCTCTGCCCCTGTCAGATACCTGAGACAACCCAGACTCCAGCCTGACCCAACCAGCTGATGCAGGCCCTCTGAGGTGTGTTCTGGAAGAGCATGGGGAGCTGGCATAGGCAGATGGCAAGAGGGGATGTGACTGGACCCCCTGGGGAGGTTGTCTTGATGGCTGAGGATCCTGGATCATGGCTGCCCTCTGTCTCAGGATTCAATAATTTTTATTTTTAGGATATCTAAGAAAGAAAAGCAAAAAAATAAAATAAATGTTTAGAAGAGTAGTCATCTTCAATGAGAAATTGCTAATAAATATCCTTGTCAAATATTTCATACATATTGCTTTTTCAGTTTAGAGCTAACTCCTTTAAAATCACTCCTATGTTTTATAGATTCTGAACAGTATTTGCTTTCTATATATTCCAAAGTGATTATCACTGTATAAAGCAATACAAATAATCATTGCAGATTCATGAGTATCTTCATGTTAAAAGACTTTATCTACAGTTTTTGTGACCTATTAATATAAATTGCATAAGAAATGTATAACATTAACATTTTTGACTCTATAATGAACTAGAACTTGATAAATTTAATAGTCATGATGATATTCAATAAATTTAAAAAAAATTGAAATAAGCTATATAAAATAAATTATCAATAAATACTATGGTAAGCACTTTGTGGGAATAGACTTTGATTATAGAAAATATATTTGCTTCTATTCCTTTTGCTATTTAGGTCGCTGTGCATTTCACATCTGGAAACCTCTGGAACAAGTAATCACAGAAACTGCAAGGAAGATTTCAACTCCTGTAAGTTAAAGACAGCTTTCATTAGAAAGTTCATTTTGATTTTTAAGTATCATATTTGATAGTAATTCAAAAAAATGTCTTGAACTTTCCAATTTTGTGGAAGGTTTGCTTCTTTTATTATATCCTCAGAAAGTTTGTCTCGTTTATTGATTTAGATCCTTTTAAGCTTCTTGGTCACATTTTAATGTCCAAACTTTTTTATGGTTTTGACATCTACCTATTTCTTACTATTACATTCTTTTGGTATTATTACATCAATTTTGAGGTAATTTATTTTCATTGTTTAATTAATATACATTTGTTCACTTAGTGACTTGAAATAGAATAAGAATGAAAATAATGACATAGTTCTAAAAAATTTTTCTTTTTATTTTGTCTCCATTTAAAAATATATATACATATATATACATATATATGTATATATACATATATATATATATTTTTTTAGAGAGGAAGGGAGAGAGAGAAGTGGAAACATCATTGATGAAAGAGAATCATTGAACAGCTGCCTCCTGCACTCTCCCCTATGGGGATTGAGCCCACAAACCGGACCTGTGCCATTGACCAGAATCAAACCCAGACATCTTCAGTCTGCATGCTCTATCCATTGAGCCAAATCAGCTAGGTCTCCCTACTTTTTTTTTTTTTTTTTTTTTTCATTTAAAAAAGGTGAATGAATGACATAGTTCCTTTATTTTTTGAAAACATTTCACATTTATTTACACCAAAATTGAATGTTGTATCATCATTCACTCACATTTAAAATCACTCTTGCCTGGTGTTCCATTTCTTTTTTATTTATTTATTTATGTATTTTCATTTTCTTTATTGATTAATGTATTACATATCTGTTCGTATCTCCCCTTTGTAACCCCCCACCCTTAGCCCCCTGGTGTCTGTGTTCAATGTTGAGGTATGATCCCTCTATTCCCATTTTGCTGAGTGTTTTTTATCAAGAAAGGGTGTTGGATTTTGTCAAATGCTTTTTCTGTATCAATTGATATGACTTTGATTTTTTTCTTTCAATTTGTTTATGTGATGTATCACATTTATTGATTTGTGGATATTATACCATCCTGTATCCCCGGGATAAATTCTACTTGGTCATGGTGTATGATCTTTCTGATGTAATGCTGGATCTGATTTGCTAAAATTTTATTGAGGATTTTGGCATCTATGTTCAGGAGGGTTATTGGCCTGTAATTCTCATTCATTGTGTTGTGTTTATCTGGTTTTGATATAAGGGTAATGCTGGCTTCATAGAATAGGCTTGGAAGTGTTCTTTCCTCTTGCATCTTTTGGAATAGACTGAGGATAGGTTTTAGTTGTTTGAATGTTTGATAAAACTCTCCTGTGAGGCCGTCTGGCCCTGGGCTTTTGTTTGCTGTAAGCTCTTTGATGACTGTTTCAATTTCCTTCATACTTATTGGCCTATTGATATTTTTAGATCCTTCTTGATTGAGTTTTGGAAGGTTGTATTTTTCTAGGAATATGTCCATTTTTTCTAAGTTGTCTAGTTTGTTGGAATAGAGTTGTTCATAGTATTTTTTAACAGTCTTTTGTATTTCTGTGGGGTCTGTTGATATTTTGCCTCTTTCATTTCTGATTTTGTTTGAGTCCTGTCTCTCTGCTTCTTGGTGAGCCTGGCTAGAGGTTCATCAATCTTGTTTTTCCTTTCAAAGTACCTGCTCTTGGTTTCATCGATCTTTTTTTCTTTTCTCTCTATGTCAGTTATTCCTGCTCTGATCTTTATTATCTCCTTCTTTCTGCTCACTCTGGGCTTTTCTTGTTGCTCACTTTTTAATTATTTGAGTTGTAGGATTAGATGATTTTTTACTATTTTTTCTTGTTTTTTGCGGTAGGCCTGTAGATCTATCAACTTGTCTCTCAAGACTGCTTTCACTGTGTCCCATAGATTTTGAATTGTTGTGTTTTTATTGCCATTCATTTCCAGGATATTTTTCATTTCTTCTTTGATCTCTTTGGTAACCCAGTTATTGTTTAATAGCATGTATTCAGTTTCCAAGTGAATGACATAGTTCTTTAAATAAATGTTTATGTCTTTACTATATTTATATATAGTATATGGACAATTTACAATTTTTAGAATCTTTTGTCTTATGTTATAGCTGTTTTTATAGTGGAGGCCCATTGCGTGAAATTTGTGCACTTAGGGCAGGGGTCCTTCAGCTTGTCCTGCGTCCTCTCACTGACTAGGAGCCATCAGTAAGACATCCTTAGTACTGCTGCAGAGGTGTGAGAGGCTCCCACTAGTGCTGCCATGCTTGCTGGCCATGAGCCTGGCTTCTGACTGAGTGGTGTTCCCTCTGTGGGAGCACACTGACCATCAGGATGCAGCTCCTGCATTGAGTGTCTGCCCCTGGTGGTCAGTGCAAGTAATAGCGGTTCAGTTGATTTGCATATTAGCCTTTTATTATATATGATGACCATGAATAGAAGACTCCCATGTTTTGTAGAATTACATTCTTTAACAATGTAAAGGATGTCAGATTGAGAAAATGAGAAAATTTTCATTTTTCTGTGGTGGCTCACAAATAAGGTAAAATAGTTCAAGAGATTGTCCTAGGTATACTGAACTTGGCATCTGCATTTCTTGAGAAAGAAATGATGCATGCTCACCTTTCCTGTGGGTTTCAAATTAAGAAACATGGCTTTTAATAAATTGTGCCTTGTTTTCACAAAGTAGTTGCAGTTTGCAATGAAACATTTTAGAATATCTTTATAAAATTTTTCTTAAAAACTTATTTGCTTCCTCTATACTCATTTTGCTGGAATACTGCCTACAGTAATTTTTCCTATGGGATTCATGGATGATAAATGCTTTCAGTTCTTTGTTAAGCAATTTGTTTATTTCGCCTTCAATATTAATTGCCATTTACCTGTTTGCTCCTTGGAGTCCAGTGGAAACAGTACTAAAGAAGTATATTTATCTTCAGATTGAATCTTAGTGCCCATGTGCATGCTTTCCTATGTGCTCGCAGCCAGATATTTTTGGTACTCAGACTCTCAGCAGATTTCCAGGTGTTCTTATTCCTTGGTACTTTTTTTTTTTTTAATATATATATTTTATTGATTTTTTACAGAGAGGAAGGGAGAAAGATAGCCAGAAACGTCGATGAGAGAGCAACATCGACCAGCTGCTTCCTGCACATCCCCCACTGGGGATGTGCCCGCAACCAATGTACATGCCCTTGACCGGAATTGAACCCGGGACCTTTCAGTCCGCAGACTGATGCTCTACCACTGAGCCAAACCAGTTTTGGCTTCCTTGGTACTCTTTTGATTTTCTTTTGTTGTTTGTGCTTTTGGCTTTTAGGTTTTGGTGATTTTTGTTTGGTTAGCTCTTCAAATTTAGGGGATTTTCTCTTTATTACTGATGTTCTGAAACTTTAAGGATTTATTAGTGAGTCTTAACTAGGTGAAATTGTGTATCTATTGTTTTGTAAGATTCTCTGACATTTTTTGTTTGTTATTTTCCCCCCTGTTGTCTCTCTTTTCTGCTCCTGGAACTCTTATCAGAAAGATGTTGGACCTCTTAGTCTATCCTTTATGTCTCTTGACATTTTATCTTTTATTTTTATCTCCTTTATTTTTTCATTCTACATTCCACAGTATTTCCAGAGGTTATTTTCTAAATCACTAGGTTGGCCTTTGACAATGGTCCTTCTGTTATTCGGTCCATCCAATACATTTTTTACATCGATAATTATTTAATATACAAGAATTTTTCTTGTTTCTTTTTAATAGCAACTTAATTTTATGAATGTGTTATAATATTTCTTAGAATAGTTCTAAAAACACTAATTGGCATTTCTTTCTCTTCTACTTCCTTATTTATCTTCTTTCTTCAAAGCCAGTTGTTAACTGCTCATCTTCTTTTTCCTGAAGGAAATATTTATTGCGTATTATTGGTGATCATATTTTATAGCAAAATTAAATGCATGCACTTCCACAAACATAAACTGGAAATCCAGGCATCTATCAAATTTATATACCGAACCAAAGTTCTGGTTTTCAGAATTCAGCAGTCAATCATTATTCTGGTCCAGGGCCACCAGTTATAAATTAATTTCTAAGTGTTGAGGATCTTGTCAGTAATTTGAACAAAATCTCTTTATATGTGACAGTTGTTTCCTACATAAAACCTTTTGGGGGCACATTTATTACATCCATTTGATCTAATTTACTAGTTGGTCAGGGATTTCATTAGTTGAGACATCTTTTTGTTCTATTTCATCATCTAATGGTTTGCTCTTTTTTCTGGTTGAAAAAAATCAAGGAACCCAACAAGGTCTACGTACCCAATGTATAGACTGTGGACATCCACCAGCACCAAGACATAGCCTGGTCCAGACCCATGGCCTAGTTGTTCATCTTGGTTCTATTTTTCTCCCTTGATATTGGATTTGTTCAAATACCTGATGATCCTTGGTTATTGATTTATGTCTATGAAGACCAAATTGATTAATATAAGTGGCCTTCCTCAGCAGTTTGATAGGCTTGGTTCAAAATTTAATTGAATATCGATTAATATTCAAAAGGATTCTAAAAGTATTATTGGTGGTCTTTGAACATATTGGTGGGCCATGTCAATAGTCATGTCTTCCTAAGCATGGAGCCCAGAGGCAGGCTTCGGACCTCCAGAGTCTAGTAGCAGAGTACTACATACGTGTAACTGCACCCCTCTCCAGCCTTCTGAGATTGGAAATGTGATCTGTTGGTACTCTTCTTTGTTTCTCTTCAGATCTACCACCCACAGTAAGATGCATCACAGATATGATTCTCTGTTTAACCTGAGAGCTAAAGCAGCATGTGGCAGGCTCCTTATAATCTGTATTAATGGAGTTGGGAATTGATTAGTTCTAGTTTAATTACTCTGATATTATTTTTCCTATTTGTTTACTCTGAATTTAATGTGTTTTTTACCCTTAATTTCTGAGAAGTATTTCTCTTTTACCTCTGGGGATTAGGGTTGCTATGACTTTTGAGTATGTGCAATCTTATCTGTTTTCAGTCTTCCAGGATTTCTTTAAACTTTCTGTTTTTCTACTTGTCCCATTTCTTGTTTTCTAGACCTATTATGGATTTTTGTTGTTTAAAATAACTCTGTCCTCATTTCAAGGTCACTTTGGTAAGCAAAATAAATTATTTAGTCTGCTGTTTTGAACTATTACCCTTTTGTTTGGTTTTTAAAGTATTAGTGTATATTATTGACTCAGCTAATGTCTAATTATCCCTATTTTTTCCTCCGGTGGGGATAAAAAACAAGTCATTTATCTTCTTTCAAGGCTTTTATTTTCCTATATGTGAATTTTTCTTTTTACTTGAATACAGTTTTTCAAACTGAACTTCTGTTGTTTATAGTTAAGCAAAATTCATAGAAATAACACTAATTAAAATCGTCCTTCTATGGCTCTATAAATTAAATAGATTATTGTACATAATAAAAGTTTACAATTTATGGTAAATAAGACAATGGAATGATATAGTTCTCTGGTAGTCTGGAAAGTTTTTTGTATTCCAAGCTATTGACTGAGTAAAATAGCATGATTTTTGTAACTTGATTCATTTCATATATGCATCCTTCAATAATTCATTTCATATATGCACTACAACATTTAATGCTAATTTTAGAAGAAAAACAATTTTAATTTCTATTGTTTATATACAAAGTTGGGCAAAAGTAGGTAAATAGTTGTGAGTACATGAAGCAGTTTATTCTTGTATTGTTATTTATTCTTATATATTTTTTCATATGAACAACTGTAAACCTACTTTTGGTCACCCCTGTATATGCTTTATGAATAGAAAATATAAAATAATGTGTAAAGTTCAAAGTGTATGTCAAGTAGACAGCATAATAAAAGTAGTGGAATTCCATTGTTTTTGTTCTTGGAAATTTTATTAGAAATATATAACCCCCTACTTTGTCTTTCTTATTATATTGTTGTTCTTTATTATAATAATCTTATGTTTATGAATCTAAACATTTCTTTAGCCCACTAGTGTTGTCAAAAATGATTCTGCATGGTGTTATATTTATATATCCTACTGTAATGCAATATTGGTATATTATTTGTAGGCTTGAAAGGGCCTTTTAGTTTATTTAAGGGAGGAATCAAGGGATACTTTGTGCTTGCTTATGACACAGATACTAATTTAAATTGAATAATATATTTAAAAACTAATAACATTTTATTCTATTTAAAATTATGTAATATATGACCTAAATTTTATATGAGTTTAGAAGGCATGATTTTCACTGAAGAAATGTGTAACATGAGCATTTTTTTTTGCTTTCTGTCTGCTTTTCAGTATAAAATTTTCAAATGTTAAATTTCTATTCTCAAAATGATCTAGTTCTTTTATAAGGGTTATAATGATTGTACATATACAGATTGACTTACTCATTAAGTAGGTGTATGTTTTAGGCTATGAGCCTCATCAAAATGTAGTTTAGTCTTTTCTGAGTTTCTCCTTTTTTTCATATCCTGCATTTAGTCCTCAAAGCAAATGTTAGTTCTGTTTTCAAAATACATCCAGAATTTGACCACTTTTCACTTTCTCCTTTACATTAATTCATACCACCATCATCTCTTATCTAGATTATTGTTATGCCCTCTTAACTGGTCTATTGCTTCTACTGTTTCATCTTTCTTTTTATTCTGTACATGGCAGCTGTTGGAGGAATCCTTTCAAAACAAAGTCAAATTGTGTTACTTCAGTGCTCTGGCTTCTGAGAATAAAATTCTAAACTATTTCCATTGTATAAGGCCTTCCACAATTTGGCCCTATTTACCTCTCTAATACTACTCTCCTTGCTCATGTGATCTTTCAGTCCAGTTTTCTGCCATTGCCTATTTATTATCCTGACATCCTCCCCACTTTGTCAGTTTCTCTAGCAGTCTGTCTAGTAGTTCAAAACAAAGTCAGTCATATCACATGAACTGATTTGGTCAAGGTTATCCAATGAGAAAATTACTGTAAGACTTAGAAAAAGATCAAGCCTTTTGCTTTTACTGACCTCATATTCTTTCAGTTATATCTAAGTATAGAGAAATTATTATATTTGACAGTTAAAAAATTGGTAACATTTTTTAGGTGTTCATCTTGCTATTAGTAAAGGATCATTGTTTAGTGCCCCTCCCCCCTATAATTTCAAGTGACTACTAGTAAAATGTGTTCTTACTGCAACTATGTGAGGAGGTTGAGGTCATGCCTCAATAATTAATTGATTCATATATTATTTCTTGCTCTATTTTTTGTGTGCAGAGCCTTTCATCCTACTATAAAGGAGGATTTGAACAGAAAATGAGTAAGCGAGAAGCTAGTCTTATTTTGGGTGTAAGGTAAGTGTGCTGCATAAGTATTATTTTGTTTGTGTCCAAGCTTATATTTAAAAAGGAGAAAATGTAACAGTAAAGTTATTCTTATATTTTAAATTATGAATAGGAAACAGAGGAGAAAATATCAAATTTTTACATTTTAAAATCTCTAAGAGAAAAGTTGTAATGTGTCTTTATTCTGTAACAATGAGCTATTATATTTCTTCCTTTTCGTTTTAAAAAAAAATTGATTTGAGAGAGGAAGCCAGGACAGAGAGAGAGTAAGAGAGAGAAATATTGATTTGTTGTTCCACTTATTGATATATTCGTTGGTTGTTTCTTGTATGTGCCCTGACTGGGGATTGAACCCACAACCTTGATGTATTGAGACAGTACTCTAACCAACCAAGCTACCTGGCCAGTGCTCAGTAGCTATTATATTTCAATATTAAAGTTTAAAGAAATTATCATAATATCCCTCATTATGATACTGAGTTGTTTCTAGATTGTTTTATAATTTGATATGTATCATATTTTCTATGGACTCTGTTTCACAATTATTTTCTAGTTCTGCAATTTGACATTTAGCATATTTTCTTATATTTGTTTCACCTTTTATCCATTTACTAGAGGCCCTGTGCAGGGATTTGTGCACCCATTGGGTTCCCTCTGCCTGGCCTGTGCCATCTTGCAATCCTGCACCCCTTGGGGGATGTCAGACTGCCAGTTTCGGCCCAATCCCCACAGACTAAGCTGAGGGATCCCACTGATACACGAATCCATGCACTGGGCCTTCAGTATGCATATAAGATTTTTGGTTAATCTCTTTCCGCCCTCCCCCCACTTTTCTTCTGAAATTCATCAGTCTGTTCCATGTTTTCATGCCTGTGTGTTGAGCATCTTGCCCCCTAGTGGTCAGTGCGTATCATACCTAGTGGTCAAACAGTCGCTTAGGCTTTTATATATATACCAGAAGCCTGGTACACGAAATTTATGCACGGGGGGAAGGGTGTCGCTCAGCCCAGCCTGCACCCTTTCTAATCTGGAACCCCTCAGGGGATGTCCAACTGACCATTTAGGCCTGATCCCACAATCTAGGACTGCTGGTTTCCAACTGCTCACCTGTCTGCCTTCTTGATTACCCCTAACTGCTTCTGCCTGCCAGCGTGATCCCCCCCTAACCACTTCCCTGCCAGCCTGATTGATACCTAACTGCCCTTCCCTGCAGGCCTGGTCACCTCTAACTGCACTCCCCTGCAGGCCCGGTCACCCCCAACTTCTCTCCTCTGCCAGCCTGGTCACATCTAACTGCCCTCCCCTGCAGGCTTGATCACCCCCAACTGCCCTTCTCTGCCAGCCTGGTCCCTCCTAACTATCCTCCTAACTATCCTCCTAACTATCCCCTGCTGACCTGATTGCCCATAACTGCCCTCCCTTGCAGGCCTGGTCCCTCTCAACTTCCCTCCCCTGCTCTCCATTTGTATCCACATGGGGGCAAGATCTTTGACCATATGGAGGCAGTCATCTTGTGTGTTGCAGTAATGGTAAATCTGCATATTACTCTTTTATTAGATAGGATAGAGACCTGGTACATGGGTGGGGGCCAGCTGGTTTGCCCTGAAGGGTGTCCAGATCAGGGTGGGGGTTCCCTTGGGGCATGGGATGGCCTGGGTGAGGGGCCTGTGGTGGTTTTTAGGCTGGCCACACCACCACCCCCCTCCACCCCCTGTGACCCAAGTGGAGACTCTGGGTATCTGGGGTTTATTTATCTTCCACTTCATGTTGCCTCCTCCTCACTCCATGTTGCTACCATTTCTGTTGGCATTTATTTATCTTCTATAATTGAAACTTTGTAACATTAAGAGGAGGCCTGGGCCAGCCAGGGCTGCAGAAAGTTGGCTTCCTCCATTGTCAGGGGCAACCCTAGCCTCCTGCTCTCTGCAGCTTTGTGATTGTCATCATTTCTGTTGGAATTAATTTATCTTCTAAAATTGAAACTTTGTACCCTTGAGTGGAGGCCTGGTCTACAGGTGTGTGGGAAACTTGGCTTCCTCCATTGCCAGGGAAACCCACGCCTCCCTCCTATTCACACTGTGGCTGTAGCCATCTTGGTTGGGATTAATTTGCATATTAGCTCTGATTGGCTGGTGGCCTTGGCTTGTGAGTATAGCAGAGTGGTGGTTAATTTGCATATTACTCTTTTATAAGGTAGGATATACATATATATGTATATATGTATATGTATATGTATGTGTATATGTGTGTGTGTGTGTGTGTGTGTGTGTGTGTGTGTATTAAAAGCTTAAAGGCAGGCAGACATACCTGAGGGGTCCTGGATTGTGAGAGCATGCAGGCTGGGCTGAGGACCACCCCTCTCCCAATGCACAAATTTTGTGCACCAGTCCTCTAATCTATATAGTGACCATCGCAACTGAACAGGCAACCAGGCTGGCATAGAAGGGCAGTGAGGGGCAAGTAGGCTGGCGGGAGGCAGTTGGGGTGACCAGGCTGGCAGGAGGGGTCAGTAAGGAGTGACCAGGCAAGCGGGGGGAGGGTGGAATTATGGGCGACCAAGCCAGCATGAGGGACAGTTGGGTGTGACCAGGCCATGGGGGGGTGAGCCAGTGGTCCCGGATTGTGAGAGGGATGTCCGACTGCCAGTTTAGGCCTGATCCTACAGTCAGTCAGACATCCCCTGAGGGGTCCTGGATTGGAGAGGGTATAGGCTGGGCTGAGTGAGTCCCCCGCTACCATGCACTGGGCCTCTACTATAAAATAAAGAATTAGGATTCTCCCATCTTGTTTGTTTAATCTTTATAACAACAGGCACATGTATTAAGGTCCTAGGGACTTAAAGAAAAGGGGATAATCCTTGTACAATTTTACTACTTTCATCCCAAAGCTAACCACTAGGAGTCTGATCATTATTTTCATAAGAGTAGAATATTTTGAATGACCATATATGTGCATATGAACTTTCCACTGACTTCAATCTAGTTCATTGGTTGATGGACCTTAGTGTATGTAATGCTTATGGAATTTTATATACAAACCCATATGCATTGTTATTATAGGCAATCCAAATGATTTTCAAGGATAATTTTGACAGAAGTGCTAAATATTGTCTTATTTGTTAAATTAAAGCTTAATACCCAGAATAAGGTGCAACTTACCATATCTACTTCCTCCCAAAAAATGCATACAATGAAAATTCGAATGAGTAGCCTGCATTTGATTAGCTTTATAAAATAATTTTTAAAGCTTCCCTTTTTTTTTTTATTAAAATGCTCATATTTACTAATACAGAGCCTTTATTCTTTCAAGGACTTTAACTTTTTACTGCCATTTATTTACAATAGGAGGGTGGTATAAAATGCATTAAGCACCTATTGCACATGTAATACTAGATAGTATTTTAAGATCTGCCCTTCAGGAGTTTAGTTTCTAAGAAACCTAAGGAGACATGTCAAATATATACGTAAAACTAGGAAACATAACTAATATAGGAAGTGTTATAGAGCAAAAGGGGGGGGAATTATAAATGTAGATTAGATATAGTAAACTAAATCGTATTAGAATTTTTCACAGTAACATCTTTTTTATTCTTGATAGGCAATTAAACAATAAAGTGTTCATTTTCCTGGTACAATGTTAATGATTTTTCTCTCAAAATTTGGTAGTCTTTGTCTTTTTGTCTGGGAAGGACTCTACAAACCAAAATAAGTTTGAAATGATCCCTAAAAAACTTCTACAAACAGCCAAAAGGAATACCCATAAGACTTTATATTAAAATACTTATTACTTATTTGTTATTTATTAATATTTTTAAAGTACCCCCATCCCCAGTTTTACTGAGATATAATTGGCATATGACATTGTACATTAATTTAAGGTGTACAACATAATGATTTGATATTCTTTATAATAATAAAAGTGTAACATGCTAATTAGACCAAATGTCCTTCCTTCGGATGTCCTTCCTTCTGGACAAAGCGGCATCAGGCAGAGGCCCCCAGCCATGGTGATGGCAGTCGGGCGCTGAGGTAGACATGACTGCTGCGGCAACGGGGCCAAAGGCCCTTGCGCAAATTTCACGCAGTGGGCCTGTCGTATTATAATAAATGCCTAATATGCTAAGTGTCTGACCATTCAGCCATTCAACCAGTCGCTATGATATGCACTGACCACCAGAGGGCAGATGTTCTGACTGGTAGGTTAGCTGGCTGTAGGGGTCCAGCCAATCGGGACTGGATGAGACGGGCTAGACACACCTTGGAGCCATCCTGCAGTCCCTCTTTGATCCCTGTTGGCCCCAATCAGGCCTGGGTAACATGGGCTAGACACACCCTAGAACCCTCCCACCCTTCCTCTCCAGCCCTGATCATGCACCAGTGGGGTCCCTTGGCCTGGCCTGTGATCTCTCACAATCCGGTACTCTTTGGGGGTTATCGGAGAGCTGGTTTCGGCCCTATCCCCAGGAGCCAGGCCAAAGGACCCCACCAATGTATGAATCCTTGCACCAGGTCTCTAGTATGTATATGTTACAAAATGATTATCACAGTAAGTTTAGTTAACATCCTTCAATTCATATAATTACAGTACTGTTTTCTTTTTCTTGTGATGAGAACTGTTAAGATGTACTGTTTTAGGAACATAGAAATATATAAACAATATTGTTAGCTATCACCATGCCGCACATTCCATCCCTGAGACTTACTTATAACTAGAATATGTACCATTTCATCCATACGCCCCCACCTCTGGCTTCTACCAGTCTGTTCTCTGTTTCTGTAAGTTCAGCTTTTTTAGATTCCACAAAAAAGTGAGATCATACACAGTATTTGTCTTTCTCTGACTTGTTTCACTTAGCATAATGTTCTCAAGGTCCATCTCATGTTGTCACAAATGGCAAGATTTTCTTTTTATGACTGAGTAATATTTCATTTTACATATATACAGAAGTGGAATTGCTGGATCACATGGTAGTTTTAGGTTTAATTTTTTGAGGTACCTCCATTACTTTT